CAACAACATCAACCACAACCACAACCTCGTCGACAACGACTCCAACTACCCCCGCTGATCATTATGCTGGCACTGCTGCATTACGAAGACGATGTCGACGACGACAGTCACACCGAGGAGGCAAACGACAACGACGACGACGACGACGACGACTGCGACGTGCGCCACTCCATCTAGAACTGAAAGTAAAAGTAGTCGTCGTCCTAGTCGCAGTAGCAGTAGTAGCGGAATAAAAAGATTCAGTAGCAAAAGCAGTAGCCGCAGGAACAGAAGGCACACGAGGAGCAGTAGGAGCAGTAGCAGTAGCAGAAGCAGCTGTAGCAGTAGAGGCATGAGCAGTAACAGTAGCAGTCGTAGAAGTGGTAGATGCACCTCGTAGATCGGCTTGATGTGCAGCAAATTATGGAAAAGCGACATGGCTGCACTCCTATGCACGGACGCGGGCCGATATCGAGACTGCAATGCTGCGAAGAACTTTCGCATTTGGGGGATGCACATTAGTAACGTCTTGCAAGGATTTGTTGAGTGCAGACATACATATGTAGAAGCTCATGAAAGTATGATACTGCTGTGTATTCATATGTGGTTCTATCTAGACTGTTGTTGATGTGAGGTTGCTATCATATTTGCTGGTGCTGGAATACTTTTGCATGTGTTGCTGCTGAAGCTGAATTGCAAACTCAACCCTCAGCATGTCAAGTCAAACTAACGGCCTCGCAATGACCCAGCTGGAGCAGGACACACAAACATGTGCATGGCCAACATAGCTGGAATGGTAGCTGCTCTCTCAGGTGGTGCTGATGCAGATTTTGATTTACACCCGAGCATCGTCAAGGCTTTCCCCTCGACTGAAACCCTACACCCTAAACACAACAGCAGCTCGAAGTTGAGCAGCTCCCAAAAGCAAGCCCCACAAGAACGAAGTCTCGCCGGTGCCGATTCAGCGCAGCTTCCCGAAGCGAGGTTAGGACAGCATCCTAATATAGTCTCCCCTTAAAGGAACCCTAATCTAGGGTTCCTTTAAGGGGTCCAAGGAGTCCTATAAGGGTTGCTATCAGAGTCATATAAGGGTCTAGGGCTTAGGGCTTCGAAGAGGAGCCTGACAACTAAACTGACAGTAATTATAGCAGTAACAATGTCCTATAGTGTGGGAGGCTAGAGATATAATTATAGTGAAACATGACCTGGCGGAAGCTATCGCAGCCCGGTGCAAACCTACCAGTGAAGTTTGCTTGAGCGCCCTGCTCTGCGTTTGCACACACTCGCGCGTAGGCCGCAACATCCTGACAAACTTGGGGCTCTCTTGAAACAAGGAGGACCTGCTTGAGGATAATAAACAATAAAAACAGTAAAAACAATAACAATATTGAAGATCCTGAAACCTATTCTGAATCATGGTTAATTCTTTATTGGGGTTCCCTGTTGTCTTCCAGCTGCCAACTTTGAACTCCGAGAACCTACAGGTTAAGGCGTCATACATCTTTACTTTCTCTTCGTCTTTGTTACTGTTTGCTTTACATTCTGAATGTTTCCTCACTGGTAAAAGCGTACGAAGTTTCGGGCTTGGGCATTCCATGTTCACAGCCTTGGGCTACCCGTGGATGAATGCAAGGCTGCAGCACAATGATGCAACCTAGTTAAGCTTAGCATCCCATGGCCCCGCCCCTCCAGAAAGCATTTCAAGATTAGATGTGCTTTACTTCTGCTGAGCGCGTGCGACTTTCCACACGCTTGTTGGCTAAATGCTGCGTCTGCCGTCTAGTCATTCACCTGAGCTGCTTCAGACATTTTAAGGATTTGTGGCAGCTACGAAGATCCTTTGTTGACCGCAAAATGTCAAGGCTTTGAACTCACGGTAGAAGAGGTCCACGACAAACCCACAATCCTGGGGGTTCATGGCAAACCGACGAAACATATACCGTAACAGTTTCTGATTTTTGCACAGACACCCCATTCGAACCGTCCTGTATTGCAACTGCAACGCTGGACAAAATACTCAGCATGTTGTTTTTCAGTGGGCTGAACCTGCAACCCGACACCTCAACACCTCCCTTCCCAAACCCTCGAACCCTAAACCCTAAACGCTATACCCTAAACCTTAAACCCCTCGCCTAAAGTTGCCACACTTACAATGTAGACCGTGACTTACAAGGGCCTCCACAACAGGCCCTAGGTTTCAGAGGGCCAAATATGAACCAACCAAAGCCAATAGGAAACTTAGATAATATAGGGGCCTTAATGATCACCTATACTATTTTTTTTTTTGGGGGGGGTCCTTATTCAAATTATAATAAAATGTACCCCCCCAACCCTATTCTAATCATTATATTACAGTAATAAATCGGCGCTCATGGTGTCCCCGAACAGGCTCGTCCAACGGAGTGTGATGCACGAAAATCATTCTTGTTAGGAATCACCTCCCCTAAGCCCTAAACCTTCACCTCAACCTTAAACCTTACACCTTTACCCCTAAACCCTAAGCTCTAAACCTTAACCCCGGCCCCAAACCTTAAAACCTAAACTCTACACACTACAAACGTTAAACTCTGAAAACCTTAAGACCCTCTACACCCTAAGCCCTAAACCCATAAACCCTTAAACCCCTAAACCCTAAACCTGGGACAGCCTGCAGCTCGGAGCTCTCTTCGGCAGCGCGCAGGGCCTCTCCGAGGAGTGGGGGCCTCCTTTACTTCTCCAGCATCTTAGGGGAATTACCAGGGTTTAGGGTTTAGGGGTTTAGGGGTTTTGGGTTTAGGGTTTAGGGTTTAGGGTGTAGGGTTTAGGATTTAAGGTTTAGGGTTTAGGGAACTACAGGCTTAGGGTCTAGGGGTTTGGGGCTTCGTAGCCGTAGGGGATATAGTACCCGGAAGAGGTTAAGGTACCTACTCTACTACTAGGCTTCCTTTTTGTGGAGCTGCGAGGGGGCTCTAAGACTCTGAGGATTCGGCTTTTCTTCACCATCTGGATCGACAGAGCTACGATTAACTACCAGCCGTGACATCATCGCCATCTTCACCGTTACTGGTAGTACAGTCTATGTTTGCTTTTATTGCCACGGTCCCCACCTGCAGTCTCCATCGTCACAGCCCATACTTCGCCAGTAAAAACTTGCCATGAATTCAGCATCACGTTTGCTGTTGCCACGATCATGCGACCGTTATAGGATCCTTCGTTGCAATCTACTCATCACCTCCACGACACAGTTTCACCCTACTCGGCAGGGGTTTTGTCACATCGACATCGCAACTATCCGCGTCATGCTGGCGACACTATTGCCACTCTCATCCCCAACATCTATATAATCAACAACATCTTCTTCTTCAACACCATCATCATCATCGGGAGCAACACCATCCGCACGTTCATCGTCAGCCATGCCACCACCGTCCTCCTCGTTGTCATGTCCATCTGTGCCGTCTTGACCGTACAACTTGTCGTCAGCGCTGTCATCACCATCAATGTCGTCGTCACATCCGCGTCGTCTTGACCGTGAACACTGTTGTTGTCCTGACTTGCTAACCTAAACCCTCAAAGCCCAGACCATAAACCCTGAACAGCTACACCCTCAACTCCTAGATCCTAAATTGATCCGGATAAAGCCACAAAGCCTACACTCCGAGCCCTGAAGCCCGAAACCCCTTCGAGGAGGCTGCCTCGCTGGCCCGTGCCTTGGATGCCTCGGCAAGCAAGGCAGCGGCTTCAAACTCTTGGCGGGGCTTAGGGTTTAGGGCTTAGGGTCTAAATGGGGGGAGGGCCCTAAACTCTAAACTCCCTAAACCCCCTAAACCTGCCTAAACTTCTAAACCCGAAACCCTAGGAGGAGACGAGGGCCTTGAGGGAGCTTATGGGTCTTGACGTAATCAAACTTCAGGTCTTGGGATGTGTTGCTGGGGTTCCGATTTCGGTACTTTAGGGTCAAAGTATCAGAGTATATGGGCGCATGCACCCCCATACCCTATGTCTGTTGGCTCCTGCCGCCGGGCCTACGGACCACGGACAGACTGTTCAGTGAGAACCCCTCACAGGCCTCCCTATAGTCTCCATTGTATACCCTTTTTTGGTTCAAGTCCAAGTAATTTTTATTGTTAGACCTCTATAAGGTAAAACCCCCGAAAAGGAACTACAATGGAGACTTTAAGTGTACAGCCGAACCCATCCGTCGCAGAGCGCCTCCGCTGCTCGCAAGAATGGCAGACAACCTGGGCGCATGGTCCGATAACTTTTTGTAAGGTTTACCCCAAGCCATGCACCCTGAAGCCTAAACCCTGGACCCTAAACCCTAAACCATGCACCCTACACCTTGAACCCTAAACCCTGCCCCAAACCCTAAACCCTCCAACCTAAAGCCTAAACCCTGCACCCTAAACCCCAAGCCCTGCACCCCGTACCCTAAACCCTAAACCCCTAAACCCTAAGAGTTTCTGACTTGGGGGCCCTGAGAGTTTGGGTGCAAGCCGGAGGCAGAGCTCGAAAAGGATTACGAAGAATGACAGGGTTTAGGGTTTAGGGGTTTAGGGGTTTAGGGGTTTACGGCTCAGGGTTTCGGGTTTAGGGGCTTAGGGACTTTCCGGGCATTGGGGTCTGTGTCAGACGCTGCGCCAAGGGCTTAGGGGTTTAGGGTTTAGGGCTCAGGGTTTCGGGTTTAGGGTTTGGTGTGTAGTTCTTGCGCACGGAAACTGACATGCAAGGACTGACGACATCCCCGGAAGGCTGGTCATAGGAGACGGAAGCGCTTCCAAGCACCAACATCGAAGCCAACACCCCAGCACAGGAAAGCTTATGCGATGTCTTCTTAAATGGGAGTTTCAGAAAATTAGGGTACCTTATTTGGGGTCCTTATAATAGGGATCCTACTATTTAGGGTACTACATAAGGGTCCATGGTCCATTTCACCCTAAACCTCTGGGGGTTCTTATGATAAGCATCCCACAAGAAGGATCCTGCGATGTTGAGGGCCCCATTGGACTACAATCACCTGGGGAAACTCCGGAAGTTTCATCCATCCCTAAACCCCAAACCGTAAACCCTAAACCCTAAACCTTGAACCCTAAACCCTAAACCCTAAACCCCAAACCCAGGCGTTCTGGTCCGAGTGAGGATGAAGGTGTAGTTTCTCTTCGGAGTCCACTGCCATCCGACCGGAACCCGTGTGTGAACACCACTGTTCCACTCTGTGCTTAGCTGTACCCTCGAGGAGGCTTTGCACATATTCCCCTTTGCTTAGGCATCGGCTGGAATTTGCCATTGGCTAACTGGTGGAGGTTGGGGCATCGTGCCGCCTCCCTTTTTCATTACATTTATCCACTCATTGGCTTTGACCTGATTGGATCTTTTATGAGCTGGAGCTGGGCTGGCGTCCTGGTTCTGGTTTTTGTGTTCTCGTGCTGTGCCGCGAATACGGAAGAGGTTTTTTCCCCACAAGCGTGTCACTCCGGAGCCAGGGTGGCATCGCCGAGCACGCAGGCGGCGGACGGAAAGCCGCACTCTGCTGCGAACCTGGATTTCAGGACATCGAAGTTCGGAAGACAGGGTGCGTCAAGCAGTGGGTGTGCTTGCGAGGCACCACAGCCGCAGCACATTGGTGCTTGCGGCCACCAAGAAGTTACAAGCCATGGCGAGCAAGGAGCCATGGTTCTGCTCGACATGTCAGATCAAGGTGCGGGCAAATGCAAATTTTTGCGGAGTGTGTGGAGGTGGATGGGCTTACTCGCAGCCTTCACACAATGCCCCCTGGGCGCCGTGGCGGGGCGAGAATTGGGACATGCCATCTTCCCCGAGGCGGCGGACTACATGGGACTCGGCCAAGGGCCAAGGAAAGAAGGGTGGCGCACGGTCACCACGCCGACGAGGCGGAGGCAGGGATACAAAGGGCGACAACAAGGCGGCGGCCAAGGGACAGGGAAAGCAGCCCGAAACGACAGTGCCTGCGGCCCCGAAGATCGCCAGCCTACCCTCAGCGCCAGCGAAGCCTACGCCGGCGACTCCGTCGGCGCCAAGTTCAGCGGCCACTGCATCAGTGGAGCCGAGTATGCAGCAGCTATTGGCGGCTCTGGCAAAGAATCGCGACGATCTGCCACAGTCGGTCAGAGATGTGCTGGACAGCCAGATGATGGAGGACTCCAGGGTGCACGCCAAAAACATGCACAAACTGGTGGCCTCCCAAGGCCTAGCTCGCCGTCAGTTGGCGGCCACCAAGGCGATGCGTCAGGACTACCTGCGACAGTGGGCCGAGTATGTCAGCAGCATGTGCACCATGTGGCAGGAGCAGCTCGACGAGAAATCAAAGGTCATGACCACGTTCGTCGAGTCGGAGAGCCAGTGGGAGCAACAGCTGGTGCACACCAGCCAGCAGATTGCGCGCATGGCGGCCGATCCGGACTACTCTGGCACCATAGATGTGGACGAGATGGAGGACGACGAGGACCAGGTGAACGAACTGGCGCGTATGGACGTACAGCGACAGGTGGCTGTGGAGTCCATGCAAGCAGCGGAGGCCAAGATTTCGGCCACGCTCAAGGAAGCCATGCAGACGGTCACCGAGCAGGCAGCGGAGCTTTCCAAGGGCGACAGAGAGAGGTCACCCCGGCGGAGATCGGACCGCGAGGTAAAGCCGGAGGCCGAGCCGAAAGTAGAGCCGAAAGCCAAAGCGGGGGCGAAGCCCCCTCAGTAGGCTCCACACTGAGCCGCATGGGACGTGTGGAGCGCGGAACGTGGGCCTCCGATGAGGACGTCCACACGGCGAGGTCGCACTCCATTTGTGACGAGTGGGACTTCACATCTGGTTTTCGTGCCAGATACCTCGGCAATCGCGCGCAGTTTGAAGCAAACATGGCGCGCAAAGGAATCCTTACCAGTCTGGTTCTTGATGCTCGTCAGCGCCAGCCTGGACAGCAGCGCCGGTGCAGGGTCTGGCTTCAGGTTTCTGAGGTGGAGGTCGAGGCGGACTGTGAGAGTGCCCGAGATTCTCGATGGGGAGAGTCCACGGCCCCGCTTGTCTGCGCCAGCCCTCTGCCACGGACCTGCTTGCGAGACCATGCTACTGGTTTGTGTGATGCTAGGGAGCGTAGGTTCTGTAAAGTGTCCTTCTGTGATGCTGTACATACTTTTCAGAGCCTGGATGCCTTTTCTGATAAAGGTGATGACCATGGTGGTGTTGCTGGTGATGGCCGTGCTGCGGGGTGCAAAGGCCTACCTGGCTACACTAATGGGGTGATTTCTCAAGCCCCTGCCCCTGCTCATCCCCGTGAGTCCGCACTGCAGCGTGTGCGGCATCTTGTTGCCGGCACCGCTACTGCCATAGGCTGTGCAGGCCTTGCTCCAGATGCCGACGAAGGTCCTTGCGATCCTTTGCATGAGGTTGGTGGGGGCCTCTCCCTGTCGCAGCGTGTGCAGCCACCTGGAGCTCGCACCGCATCTGTCCGTGGCCCCACTGCAACCATCGCCAGCTGCCCTGATGAGGAGCGCAGTGCCTTGTCGCAGCGTGTGCGGCCCCATGGAGCCTGCACCGCAACTGTCCCGGTTGCCAACTTGGCCCGTGACCTTGCAGATGGGGGTGATGTTCCCTGTGTTTATGGCCATATCGAATGTCCGCCTGAGATGGGGTACCCTCCGGCGGGTGAGCCTGTTGTACTTGCCAAGTGCCCACCAGCCACCAGGGCACCGAGCCTCTTACAGCAACTTCTCGCCAGACAGGCCTCGCTTCTACCAGGCTGGCTCGAGTCGGAGCTCGCTAATAGGCAGCCGCGAGAGATTGCGGAGCTGGGTTCCACCAGCCCAGAGCCCGACAAGGCGGATCGGTATGAGCTGTTTGATCCAATGCATGACAGGCGCACACGCCGGTCTGAGCGTTCGTGGACTGTCCACGAATATGCGATTGATGCCACCCGAGCTGTGGCCTTTTTGCCGCGTACTCTGCAGTTTTTGACCATCCCGTTGCCAGCCACGGCGGTGCCAAACATTGTGGCAACGCCTCTGCGAGAAGCGGCTGGCACGTGGGCTGTGCCGCTTGATCTGCGCGATGTTGGCGGGCGCATCATTACAGTGCGTTTTGCCCTGCCTGGCCGGGCCGAAGATCTCCTCGAACAGCTGCCTGCAAAGGGCCAAGACCGAGGGGGTGAGTTTGCCAGAGGAGTCCGTGATGGTGTGTTTGGGGTCTTTGATTCCAGGGGGTATAGGGTGCAACAATTCACTGAGGGTGTTGATGCCTACCAATGGTTTGCGGTTCGGGTTCTCGCCGCAATGCCACCGGAGGTCAGGGAGGTGACAACAGCCACCACCACCTGGATGTATGCACCTGACCCACCTATGCTCCTGGGCCATGCTGTCGGTATCCCCGAAATTCCACCACGGCTTCAGACGGTGCACCTTGTTCCAGAAGGGCTAAAGCAGCCTCATGGTGTCAGGGTGCCAGCGGCGCAGTTGCGACTGTTTGCGCAACTTGACCCAGCGCTGCCCAATACTAAGCAGGTGCCGTATACCCTCTTTGTTCGGGGTCACCAGCCGGTGATTTTACAAGGGGCTGGCCAATGGTCGCTGATTGACTTCGTTGACCACGCTGTAGAGCAGCTTGAGGGCGCGCCCCGACGAGCGCAGCTGTTGACGGTCAGTGTTGCGGGCTTCTCTGAGCCGCAGATAGTCGTCACCGGCCAGGATGATGACGGGGTCAATGAAGCGAGTGTGTTGCCAGTCGACTTCCGCAACCTTGGAGCTTCTGTTATCCCGCTCCTGTTGCACCCTGGCATGACCGTTCCTGAGATCATGCATGCTGCTGCCACACACACCTCAGCATTAGGTGAACTGCTGCCAAGTGGCGGGCCAGACGGCCTGTTTCTCCAGGATGCCCAGGGTCAGGTCTATGAGGAACTGCCGGCCCAACTGACGCACATGCAATGGCTGGCCATACGCCGACGCAATGCAGCCCTACCGTCTGAGTTAAGCCTGCTGCATACCACCTCTACTACCACTGCTATGCAGCCTTCCGCACACCCCGATCCGCGCACGGTGCAGTTTATCTTGGTTGGTGAGGGGGCGACGGTCCGACTTAATGAGGTGCCATATGCTCTTGCTGACCCACAGACAGCCTTGCTTGATCTGCTTCGTGCCCTGTCGAGACTAGGCCGACTGCAAACAGCCATTACTGTGCAGATGGCCCCTGTCCTTCCAAGGACAACGAGCACTCTGCGATACATCATCCCATTCC